CCCCAAAACCCCAAAACCCCAAAACCCCAAAACCCCTTTATTCGTCAACAAAATTGTAATGATGAATTTTTAATCAAACCAAATATGTCTCCCTCAGAGGTTCTAAATTTATGTCTGCTTTCCTATCATTTTCAACTAGTTTAAATAATTTATGTTTCTGTTAGATATATATCAATTTACTTATTTCTGATGTTTACCAAAGCCTTAATCTTGCACAGAAGTAGCCAATCCCATAGGACCTTAAAGAATCATAGACAGATCAAAACTCATTGGTTTATTTTTATAAATACGATTCTACCGCAACATTTGCTTAGTTTTAAAGGAAATAACTGTTACTTATATTAATGCTAAACCATCTTAAAATTTTTGGTGAATCCATTAAATTATAGATAAGCTTTAGGAATCAATTTTAGCAGAGTTATGGGTTAGATAATACTCGATTCTTTCGAGCATCTCTTCAGCACTATAGTTGAAGTTAAGTGAAGCTTCTTCTCCGCTTAATGCAACTGAATGCATGTCGTATGCTCTGGCAGCTCCAAGTTCGTCAGCAAATGTCCCAATGTACTTCTTAACCTGGTCAACATTTATAAGTGCCTGCCAGTTGGAGTTGTTCTTGGAGACTCCAATGTACTTAGATCTTCTTCTTAGATGCTTTTTATGGGCACTCTTAGCTTTCTTTGGTGTAGAAGTAAACCCTGTCACACATTGATTCAGGATGCTCATCTTCAAGTCTAAGAGTCCTTGCCTGATATCGAGTTCTTTAGTATTTCTCTTTCTCTTGGTTGGGGTTAATTTTTCATTAAGCATTTGAGCTTGTCTGATTGAATTTGTATCTGATTTAGATAGGTTAGTTTGAATTTTCTTTTGAACAGCCTTCATGTCAGATGCTGTAGAAGGATAATCATTTTTATACAAATTAGGATACGATGTAGAGAAGCCTTGATGTCAAAAGCAAAATCAATAGTCTTGAGCTTCTGAAGAAGTCTGATTGATGTGGTCCAATCAGTACACTGATTTAAGTTCCTCCATGATGTCTGAGTAGCTCCAGTTTGGTAAGGAAGTACAATTTGCGTTGTTAGCAAAACTGGTAAAGTTCATTTTAATTATTATCGAAACTTAATTTTTCTTCTTAAATAACATACTTTGACAGGCATCTCTGATTCGTTCAATTTGGTAACTGTCAGAAAAGTTAGATTTTAAAGTTCAAAAATTATTTGGAAAGCAATTTAGGTTTTGATAGCTAATTAGGGTCAATATTTTCACAGCAAGGATTTGCCAAATAGACTTATTTCTGCAGAGGGTTTCTCACATAACAGCATGACACTTTGCTATAAGAAACAATGGGCATGTGAGATGTCAGATTATTATAACTAGATAGCTTACTCCTGGTAAGTCCTATCTCTTATGCTCATTCATGTCAATTTAAAAATGATCCCTTAGTTTACTTCCTTTCTAATGAAGATGGGAATTTCGAAGTTTTCATATAAAGGCTGACCAAAAAGTTTAATATTTTTAACATTTCGAAAAATAATTAACAAACAGCCTATCTCGCAACTCGATACGTAAAGCAGAGGATTAGTACTCAAGTAGGAAATGAGAACTGTACAATTTTAACTAATTCTTAATTTTCTTAGTTCTGAAGACGAGGAGTTTTATCAATATTTAACCCATAAGCTCATTCTCAGCTTTGGGTTTCATCTAAGACTAGAGTCTTTTGGTCACCTATATTCGACAGTCATTAATAATTAACTTGGCAAGGTATTCTGATAATTATGAAATAATTAGCAAGAAGTCTTAAAAAGCAAACAAAAACACTAAAAATAATTTGAAATTAGGCTTATAGCTCATTTCAACATTTTGGCAGTTTTATCCCTGTTGTTAGTTCATCTTGGGCATTCACCACTAATGAGGTCAATTTTTTCGAAACCCAGATGCGGGTTTTAGCCTCGTATTAGTGAGCAGCTATCAAGAAAATTCTAAAAATTATGGACCTAGCCACTTATCTATCTATAAGACCTTCTGATAGTCGCAGAGCTTGCCAAGAGTTTGTTATTAAATTTTCTGGTAAAATGAATGGATGGTAAATAATAAAAGAGTTCAGACACTCTAGAGCAATATTTGCAGATGCATGATGCATCTCCTGACAAAGAGAGTTTTGAAGCTTGATAGCCAAGCTCTCTGCTTAACCTAGTACTCCTTGATCTTGAACTTTTCGAGCAGAGTTAGATATTTTCTGGAAATCTTTTTCTATGGGAGCAAATTTTGAAATCAATTAAAGATATCGCTCATATTGTATAGTAATGCTAAACTTTACAATAAATTTACTAATTGATCTCCTATCAAGCAAAAGAAAGATTTTATCACTAAAATTATCAGTTAAGGTTTTTGGAATCTCTAAAAACTTAGCAGGGAGTTTGGCCTCAAAGACAAGGAAATAGCATACGGATTCTTGATAAAAGTTGCAGTGTCAGAATTTAAGAGCACTAGCTTGTACATCCAAGATCTTAAATGTAAAAAATAGACTGAAATATCTATATAGAGTTTTCCATTATCGATTCTCTTGAAATTGAGAAATTAGGATCCTCGGAAGAATGGGAAACCCAAACAAAAGCTGGCCATCTTCAAATGAATATTGTGATATAGCCTAAAAGTGTTTGGACTAATAGATCTTGGAATTGATTGTTAAAATAGTACAATTATTGGATGCTCCTTTGTTCTGTTTAGCAAATTCTTCACAACAAACTTGGCTAGAAAGAATTTATTCGGCCATGTAATTTTTTTTTCAGGGAATTAAGAGATTTTTATGATTATTGCATGCATCCTAGGCGAAGAATACAAGAGGATTTGCCAGATTGTTAATCCACGAGCTTCTAGTTCATACTTAGATCATAATCAGTTCTCCAACAGCCTAAAGCATAGAGGTAAAGGACTTTGTCAGACATATAATATTTCGGAAATTAATTTAATTTTAATTGGAAAGCATTCTTGATGGAGAAAACCGAGAAGGAGAGAATCTGGTAAAATATGTTTAAGAAATCACATGAACTGCTGCAAATGTTCAGTATAAAACTAGACTTTTGTAGTCTTATCCTCATCATGCTACGCCTCGCTAGCTACTTCTCAGACTCTAAATTTTGATATTGAAAAATCTCTGAATAATAGGATTTTGAAAAGAAGAAAATTCATAAAATAAAGAAACTTATTCAGGTTAAAACATCAAGAATCTCTCTCAAATCCAATCAAAAATTTATTTAGGTTAGGTAAAATACTCAAACCTCTTCTATAACTCGAAGTTTAGTCAAGCTCTTTCCCTGGATTGCTACTGCATGCAAGTTATAAGTCTTGATAGCTTCTGTTTCGTTAATGAAAGTTCCAATGTACTTCTTTGCATGTTCCGCATTGATCAATGCCTGCCAATTCAGGCTTTTGTGACTCCAATGTATTTGGATTTCCTTCCTAGGCACTTGTTGGAAGTGTATCTAGTCTTCTTGGGCTTGGATTTGAATGGTACTGCATTATTTTTGAAAATAAGCTTTCTGAGTTTATTAGTGGTGTCAAGCTGAACTGAGGGATTCCTTCGTTTGCTAATTGCTTTGATATCATTAGGGGTTTCTTAATTTTTTCTATATAATTTTGGCTGATTCCATGCAAGATGTTAGATTGACTAGTTTGTATTTTAGACAGGATTCTTAGCTCAAGTGAACTAATAATATTTACCTCTTCTAGATCAGATAATCTATGAAATAATTATTTGAAGTTAAAACTAGTATTTTCAGATTCAAATTTGCTGCCTCTATTCGGGGTTTTGGGGTTTTGGGGTTTTGGGG